TTTTAAACTTTAAAGACTTAAAAAAGAAAAAATGGCGACGTTACATTTCCCAAGATGGGAAGGACACTGACTTTTGAAAGTGCTGCCGTCCCACTAACCCTCCCATCTCCTCCCCCTTCACCCCACCCAGCCAATGCCTAATCAGGACAGAGTGGTACGTGACTGTTGCAGTCTCGTGTACCAGCGCGAGGGAGTCCCTTCGTGTGCCTGATGGGACTCCCTTCTCTGACCGTTGCCATGCTGAAGCGTGCAATTCATATATTTTGAGAGAAAAATCAAGTACCAGATGGGGTTACAATTGACCGGGAAAAAGAAGGGGGTCCAAAACATGCCCTTCGAGTACAATCTTTTGAAGAGCTGGGTATCAAAATGAGTCTTTCTATTTTCTTCTCAGGCGGCCCATTCTTGGGAACTGGGAAGAAAACACACACACAAAAAAAAAAAAAACACCACTTCAGAATATAAATCCCTCGCAATTTCGCTGCCATCCGGGGGCATGGTCCTACTAGCAACCGGATAGGATAGGAAAGAGTTTGTGTGGCAGTTGAGTGACCCAAATCCTGCTGTGCAGTACTGGTGATCCCAGGGTCAGTATTTTACGTGTATTACCCAAAAAAGAAAGGAGATCTTGGTTCCCCTCCTCCTCTCCTTAACACTGGCCATGCCGGTGCAAAGGAAGCTTCGCACCAAAATCTTTTCAATCCGTTGGGGGCATGGCCAACCCCAAAAGAGAGTGGGGTCGGCCATAGGCCCACTGGATAGAAAATTTTCAGTATTTTGCTTGTTGTTCTGCAATTATCTCATTGGGTGGAGCCCTCCTTCAATCACGGAGTATATGGAGGGCGTCAGGATCACTGCTGACAGAAGTTGAGTTTATTCCAGAAAATGTGGCAGTAACTTTCTGCACTGTTGTTGCAACCACCACCATCAGATCATTTGTGATCTGATGGCTGGGAAGCACTCTGCCGTGATTTCAGGTCGGAGGTCTCTGTTTCTTTTTTTTTTTTTTTTCGCTTTTCTCCTATTTTCTCACCCCAGAAATTCGTAATGAACCTGTAAGGCCGCTGCCACTCAGTGTCACACTGGGTAGACCACACTCCTATCCGACTACTAATGGGACCACACCCCGGTTCTCCTGCATCAGTGGTTCGACGATGTCTGGCAGATGTCCCACAGGTGTTTGTGGGACACAGTTTACCTTACTCCTTTGCTAGTGGAACCGTGCTCCCACGAATTGTGAGGTCCCCGCCTCTGTTATGATTCCTATAGTAAATAAAACGAGTATCTTTCCACAAAAAAAAAGAAAAAAAAACAGGAAAAAAAAATGGGTCAGCTAAGGGTTGGATCCCACAGCCGCGCGGAAAGGAATTTGGTTTCCAAAACCACTTCGGCGAGACCCCACACAGCCGCGCGGCAAGAAATATGGTTTCGAAAACCACTTCGGCGAGACCCCACAGCGAGCGGATTCGGTCTTCGGGAATATGGGAGTAGTGTTTCCACTCCGGCCGTGGGCCCTTCGTACCCCCTCGCGACAGCACTTCCCGGTGGCGACGGAAGGGTAGGGGGGGGGCATCCCCTCCGATGTCGACGGAGGGTCGGGGACTGCGTTCGTGTGCGGACTTCCAGTGGTCCAAGCAGGTGATCCACAGCCGTACCAGGACAAGAAGTGGGTGTCACACAAGTGGAAGGCGTGGTTGATGTGTCTTTTTT